CCCTCGACCCCAAAGACCCCGACCCCCAAAAACCCCGACCCCCACAACCCTCGACCCCCATAACCCTTGACCCCCACAACCCTCGACCCCAAAAACCCCAACCCCAAAAACTCCGACCCCCAAAAACCCCCAACCCCAAAACCCCCGAAACCCCTGACCCCCGACAACAACTGACCCCAAAACCCCTGACCACAAAACCTCCAACATTGAAACCCTGAACAGCGCAGTGACTGAGTGTGTGTATTTGTGTGTGTGTGTGAGTGAGTGAGAACAGCGCGGTGAGAGTGCGAGTGAGTGTGAGTGTGCGAGTGAATGTGAGTGTGTGTGAGTGTTAGTGTGAGTGTGTGTGCAAATGAGAGTGTGCGAGTGAGTGAGTGTGATTGTGCGAGTGAATGTGCAAGTGAGTGAGTGCGCGAGTGAGAGAGTGTGTGTGAGTACGAGTGAGTGTGCGAGTGCGAGTGCGAGTGAGTGTGCGAGTGCGAGTGCGTGTGAGTGTGCGAGTGAGTGTGTGAGTGTGCAAGTGTGAGTGTGTGTGTGCAAGTGTGAGTGTGAGTGTGCGAGTGTGAGTGACAGTGTCAGAGTGAGTGAGAGAGAGTGAGTGTGTGTGAGTGTGCGAGTGCGAGTATGTGTGCCAGTGTGAGTGAGTGTGCAAGTGCGAGTGAGTGTGTGAGTGCGAGTGTGTGCGAGTGCGCAAGTGAGAGTGAGTGTGTGTGTGCGAGTGCGCAAGTGAGAGTGAGTGTGTGTGTGCGAGTGCGTGAGTGTGAGTGAGAGTGTGTGAGTGAGAGTGAGTGTGCGAGTGAGTGCGTGAGTGAGAGTGTGAGTGTGCGTGCGCGAGTGAGTGTGAGTGTGAGTGTGCGAGTGAGAGTGAGTGTGAGTGTGTGAGTGTGCGAGTGAGTGCGTGAGTGTGAGTGAGTGTGGAGAGCTCAGTGATGAGGGACAGAGTGACTGGGTTGAGGGAGAGCCTGTTCCGGGTGGAGTGAGGTTGGAAATTCCAGCGTTTCCTGTGAGTGACCGGGAAGGGAAGGTGACTCCTTACCCCGTGGCCGTGACATTTCTCTGAACATTTGCTCACATCCAGGATCGATGCGTTCTGACAGTGTCTATCCAGGCAGACCTAGGTACACACAGGGGTAAACCAGGTGTTATTCCCAAACCACCTCCCAACTCCCCCTCTCAATGTACCCCCACTGCCTCCCCCCGAGGGGTAATAAATGGGGTGTATACCCCCACAGCCTCCCCCCCGAGGGGTAATAAATGGGGTGTATACCCCCACTGCCTCCCCCTGAGGGGTAATAAATGGGGTGTATACCCCCACTGCCTCCCCCCTAAGGGGTAATAAACAGGGTGTATACCCCCAGTGTCTACCCCCCGAGGGGTAATAAACGGGGCGTATACCCCCACCGCTTCCCCCCTGAGGGGTAATAAACAGGGTGTATACCCCTAGTGTCTCCCCCAAGGGGTAATAAATGGGGTGTATACCCCCACTGCCTCCCCCGAGGGGTAATAAACGGGGTGTATACCCCCACTGCCTCCCCCGAGGGGTAATAAACGGGGTGTATACCCCCAGTGCCTCCCCCCACCCCGAGGGGTAATAAACGGGGTGTATACCCCTAGTGTCTCCCCCCCAAGGGGTAATAAACGGGGTGCATACCCCCAGCGTCTCCCCCCGAGGGGTAATAAACGGGCTGTATACCCCCAGCTGGGGCAGCGGATGTTTCCATCCCACCTCACCCTAGCATTGTGTACCATGCTGTCTTTACCAGTTTCCATAACCAGCTCCTGCCATCCCCTGTGTCCCCCGCACTGTGTCACCCACATGCTGTTACCTTGCCATCTCCACATTTGGTGCCAGTCCTGACCAGGCCGGGATCAGGCAGGTCCTCCTGCCCACGTTGCCCCTTGTGCAGAAAGGTACCACGACACTTCACATCCCTGCCATCCACTTGGACAGTGGTGTCGATGGGAACTGTGTTCCATTCCTTCGGGTTTTTTGCTGAACTCTGACACTGTATTTTTCCGCACATGACATCACTGCAGAGAAACCAATAAACAAAGTGAGGATGCTGTCACTATGTTTACACATGATAGGGGGAGGGACAGGTAGTATTGAGGAGGTGGGCAGGCTGCAGAAGGATTTGGACAGGTTAGGACAGTGGGCAAAGAGCTGGCAGATGGAGTACAACGTGGGAAAGTGTGAGGTCATGCACTTTGGTAAGAAGAATAAAAGCATGAGCTATTTTCTAAATGGGGAGAAAATTCAGAAATCTGAAGCGCAAACGGACTATGGAGTCTTAGTTCAGGTTCTCTTGAAGTTAACATGCAGGTGAAGTTTTATTTACCGTTGTCACATGTACCAGGGTACAGTGAAAAGTATTGTTTTGCATGCTATGCAGCAGTTCATATCAAACACAAAAAGCTCAGCATGTCTAGCAGCATCTGTGCAGAGAATGTCTGAGGAAGGGTCACCGGACCTAAAATGCTAACTCTGACTGCTCCTTCACAGATGCTGCCAGATCTGCTGAGCTTTTCCAGCAATTTCTGTGTTTGTTCCTGAGAAAGTCAAGTATCCCATATCCCTCCCTAACTCCCCTATTAACCTGCCCTACCACCTTCAGGGATTTGTGCACAAGCTCCCCAAGATCCCTCTGAGCTTCCTAATATCCTGCCATTCATTCAGTTCTCCTTTATCTTGTTCCTTCTTCCAAAGTGCATCAGCTCACATTTATCAGGATTAAATTCCATCTGCCACTGATCTCTCAATCTGACCAATCTGTTTCTATCCTCCTGTAATCTAACACCTTCCCACTCACTATCAACCACTCGGCCAATCCTTGTATCATCCACAAACTTACTTATCACCCCCTTTCACATTCTCATCTCCATCGTTAATGAATATCACAAACAATAAGGGACCCAGCACTGATCCCTATGGTACCCCACTGCACACCAGGCTCTAGTCACACAAACGGCCTTCTGTCACCGGTTTATGGTTCCCTGGTCTATCGCTCCCATCCTTCTTGTAAAGTGGAACCGCATTGGCTGTTCTCCCAGTCCTCTGGCACCTCCTTGTGGCCAGTGATGATAGAAACAGCTCAGGGACCCTATCATTCCCTCCCTTGGCTCTCACAGCAGCCTGGGATACATTCCCCATCTGCACCTAGGGATCTGTCCAGTTTTAAATCCAACAAAACCTCCAATACCTCCTCACTCCCTATGTCAGTCTGCTCAAGAACTTCACAGTCCATCTTCTAGATATTTGTACCTGCATCTTCCTCCTCCTGAGTAAAGACAGATGTGAAATAATCACTGAGCACCCTCCCAGTGTCGCTCAGCTTCCCATACAGATTGTCTAATGGACCCTAATGGATCTTGCTGTTTCCCTGTGGTTCTCCACATTTAATGAACAGATAAGTTGACCAGAAGACACAGGAGCAGAAAGTAGGCCATTCGGCCCATCGAGTCTGCTCCACCATTCAATCATGACTGATAAGGTCCTCAATCCCATTCTCCCGCTTTTTCCCCGTAATCCTTGATCCCCTTGATAATCAAGAACCTATCCATCTCAGTCTTAAATGTACTCAGTGACCTGGCCTCCACAGCCTTCTGTGGCAGTGAATTCCACAGATTCACCACTCTCTGACTGAAGAAGTTTCTCCTTATCTCCGTTCTAAAAGGTCTTCCCTTTACTCTGAGGCTGTGCCCTCGGGTCCCAGTATCTCCTACCAATGGAAACATCTCCCCAACATCCACTCTGTCCAGGCCATTCAGTATTCTGTAAGTTTCAATTAGATCCCCCCATATCCTTCTCAACTCCAATGAGTATAGTCCCAGAGTCCTCAATCGTTCCTCATATGTTAAGCTTTCCATTCCTGGGACCATTCGCATGAACCTCCTCTGAACCCGCTCCAGGGCCAGTACATCCTTCCTGAGATATGGGGCCCAAAAGCTGGAAAAGTGAATGTTCTCCAAGGTATTCCCTGGGATGAAGGCTCTCTCCTCCAATGAGAGACTGTTAAAGTGGGTCGATGTTCTCTGAAGTTTACAACAGGAACTGATCTCTTTGACACCTGCAGACAGCGAAGGGGCCTGATGGGGTAGACAGTTGAGACTGTTTCCCTTGGTTGGGGAATCTTAAAACACAGCCCATGGAGTTGGGATAGAGTTTCAGACTATGGGTTGCTCCTATGGGTTCCAATGGCAGTCCACAATCTCGCACACTCACCTCTTCGAGCACTTCACAAAGTTCCCACTCGGATCCTTCCCACAGTTTCCATAATCGTTCCCGGCTACATTCACCTCCTCAAAACAAACAGCAGGGGCAGACCGGGCACCTCCAGGGGGCAAAACCATAGAGAGAGGGGTAAAATCACACAGAGAGGGGGTAAAATCAGAGAGAGGGGTAAAAATCACAGAGAGAGGGGTAAAAATCACAGAGAGAGGGGTAAAATCACAGAGAGAGGGGCAAGATCACAGAGAGAGGGGGCATGATCACAGAGAGAGGGGGCAAGATCACAGAGAGGGGGTAAAATCACAGACAGAGGGGGTAAAATCACAGAGAGGGAAAAATCACAGAGAGGGTAAAATCACAGAAACAGAGTTTTTAAGACTGCATTAATCAGTAACAAGGAACAGTAAATCAGTATTAGTAGGGAAATGGTGTTTTGGGAAATTGATGAGATTAAAGGCTAATACATCCTTAGGGCCTGATAATCTACATCCCCAGAGTACTTGAGGAAGTGACCCGTGGAAATAGTGGAAACATTGGTGGTCGGCTTCCAAGGTTGTGCAGACTCTGGAACAGTTCCTACAGACTGGAGAGTAGCTAATGTAACCCCACTATTCAAAAAGGGAGTGATAGAGCAAACTGGGAATTATAGACCAGTGAGTCTGGTGTTGGGAGTGGGAAAGATGCTCGAGTTCATTATAAAAGATTTAGGGGCAGAGTATTTGGGAAACAGTGACAGGACTAGACATGGATTTCCAAAAGGAAAATCATTCTTGACAAATCATCTGCAATTCTTCCAGGATGTAACTGGTAGAGTTGATCGGGGGGCCAGTGGATGTGGTGTATTTGGAATTTCAGAGCGTTTTCAACAAAATCCCAAATCAGAGATTAATGTGTAAAATAGAAGTGTGTGGGATTGGGGAGTATGTAGTGAGGTGGATAGAGACCTGGTCAGCAGGCAGGAAACAAAGACTTCACTGAACAGCTGGACGGCGTTCTGAAGGGCGAAGGTAAACATAGAAACATAGAAGACAGGAGCAGGAGGAGGCCATTCAGCCCTTCGAGCCTGCTCCACCAGTCTTCACGATCATGGCTGATTATCCAACTCAACAGCCTAATCCTGCTTTCTCCCCATAACCTTTGATCCCATTCTCCCCCAAGTGCTATATCTACTCGCCTCTTAAATACATTCAATGTTTTGGCATCAACTGCTTCCTGTGGTAATGAAATCCACAGGCTCACCACTCCTTGGGTGAAGAAATGTCTCCTCATCTCCATCCTAAATGGTCTACCCCGAAACCTCATACTGTGACCCCTGGTTCAGGACACACCCACCATCGGGAACATCTCCCTGCATCTACCCTGTCCAGTCCTGTTAGAATTTTATAAATCTCTATGAGATCCCCCTCATTCAAAGAACAAAGAACAAAGAAAATTACAGCACAGGAACAGGCCCTTCGGCCCTCCAAGCCTGCGCCGATCCAGATCCTCTATCTAAACCTGTCACCTATTTTCCAAGGATCTGTATCCCTTTGCTTCCTGCCCATTCATGTATCTGTCTAGATACATCTTAAATGACGCTATTGTGCCCGCCTCTACCACCTCCGCTGGCAACGCGTTCCAGGCACCCGCCACCCTCTGCGTAAAGAACTTTCCACGCGTATCTCCCTTAAACATTTCCCCTCTCACCTTGAAATCATGACCCCTAGTAATTGAGTCTCCCACTCTGGGAAGAAGCTTCTTGCTATCAAACCTGTCTATACATCTCATGATTTTGTAGACCTCAATCAGGTCCCCCCTCAACCTCCGTCTTTCTAATGTAAATAATCCTAAACCACTCAACCTCTCTTCATACCCAGCGCCCTCCATACCAGGCAACATCCTGGTGAACCTCCTCTGCACCCTCTCCAAAGCATCCACATCCTTTGGGTAATGTGGTGACCAGAACTGTATGCAGTATTCCAAATGTGGTCGAACCAAAGTCCTATACAACTGTAACATGACCTGCCAACTCTTGTACTCAATACCCCGTCCGATGAATGAAAGCATGCTGTATGCCTTCTTGACCACTCTATCGACCTGCGTGGCCACCTTCAGGGTACAATGGACCTGAACACCCAGATCTCTCTGTGCATCAATTTTCCCCAGGGCTTTTCCATTTACCACATAGTTCGCTCTTGAATTGAACCTTCCAAAATGCATCATCTCGCATTTGCCTGGATTGAACTCCATCTGCCATTTCTCCGCCCAACTCTCCAATCTATCTATATTCTGCTGCATTCTCCAACAGTCCCCTTCACTATCTGCTACTCCACCAATCTTAGTGTCGTCTGCAAACTTGCTAGTCAGACCATCTATACCTTCCTCCAGATCATTTATGTATATCACAAACAACAGTGGTCCCAACACGGATCCCTGTGGAACACCACTGGTCACAGTTCTCCATTTTGAGAAACTCCCTTCCACTACAACTCTCTGTCTCCTGTTGCCCAGCCAGTTCTCTATCCATCTAGCTAGTACACCCTGGACCCCATGCGACTTCACTTTCTCCATCAGCCTACCATGGGGAACTTTATCAAACGCCTCACTGAAGTACATGTATATGACATCCACAGCCCTTCCCTCATCTATCAACTTTGTCACTTCCTCAAAGAGTTCTATCAAGTTGGTAAGACATGACCTTCCCTGCACAAAACCATGCTGCCTATCACTAATAAGACCATTTTCTTCCAAATGTAAATAGAT